ATTCTTATTTAGCAACCCTTCAGAGGTCCACAGTCTAGAACGGGGATCGATAAAACCTTGACTTGTAGGCTAGATTCCACTTGCCACTTGCTTTTGTAAATAAAATTTTATTGGAACACAGCCATGCTCTTCATTTGTTTTGCCTATGGCTGATTTCATGTTATAACCTCAAGGTTGAGTAGTTGCAACAGAGACCACGTGGCCAGCAGAGCCTAAAACATTTACCAAAATGCTAAGGAGTACTTGGAACAATTAGCTGGCTCTGAACAAGAAGGAAAAAAACATTTTGCTGGTCTTTGGTTTAGAAGATTTTATATATGTGTGTGTGTGTGTGTGTGTGTATATATATATATATATATATATATATATATATCTTATTTATTCTTTCACTATGATATATATATATATATATATATATATATATATATATATATATTATTAATATAGCACAGATAGGTGCTGACAAGGGAATAATGGGTTGAATCGGTTATTAGAGAAGGCAGCATGTGAACACTGAGAGAGATTTTACTTAGAAAAAGCAAAATACACAATTCACTCACTCTGTCTCACCATGTGGACTGACCATTTGGCACTTGTGTTTGCAGAGTGGCTAACAGCTGGAGTTGGGGAGCCAGCTTATGGTAGTTAAGGGTTGGAGTTGGAGATCCAAGGAAATGATGACGGGTTCTCTACACATTGAGCTTGACTGGCCAGTGGCATATCCAAGTAGAGATGTCTGACCAATGTCTGGACCTTGCTGAGAAGTCTAGGCTAGAAACACAGATTTGGGACTTAACACAATAAAGAGGAAGCTTCTGTAAGAAGAGAGATTTCCCAGGGGGAAAAAAAAAGTGGGAAGTGTGGTGGAGAGAAGATAGTGGCTTGTGAAATTCAAGGGAATTTCAGAACTTAAGCAGTAGACAAAGAAAGACGAGTGCCTGGAGCTTTTCGCTCAGAGGAGAGACAGAAAGAAAGGAGGGAGTGGTGTCCCTGAGGCCCAGGAGAGAGGGCCTGGCAGTGCCAACTTCTGCCAGAAGCCAGGAGAATCAGTTCATCAAATTTTCCCACCAAGAGGCCACAAGAACTAATGACAGTTGTTTCAAATGCTTATCACAGACACAAATTATTCCTCAGACCGAATCATAAGGAAGAGGGCATTGTGGTTATCACCAAGAGAAAACAATAAACAATGAGAGAAAGGGAAAGAAGAAACCAAAAGAGAAGAGAGAAAGAGAGAGAAATTGAAACAGCAAGGCTGAAATTATCATCACATCACCCATAAAAATCTAAATGTTATGTTCTTTCTACATAAACTCTATCATTTATCTTAATTCAACATGGCTGACCACTTTTTGAAGGAATGCCTGCCATCTGCAATAATACAGATGAAACTAGAGAAGACTATCTATGCTAAGTGAAATTAGCCAGACACAGAAGGATAAATACCCACCTAATCTCAAATGGGATCTAAAGAAATCCGAATCAGACTCATAGATGAGAGGAAGGGTGGGTCAGTCAAAAGGTACAATGTTTCAGTTATAAGATGAATAAATTCTGGAGATCCAATGTAAAACCTGGTAACTATACTTAATTATAAAGTACAATATACTTGAAATTTGCTGAGAAAGTATCTTTGAAGTTTTCTCAACACACATACACACATACATACACATACACATACACACACACAGGTAATTATGATATATGGAATATGTTAACTGTAGTAATCATCTTGCAGTGGAAATGTATATCAAAACATCACATTGTGCACTTGAAATATATACAACCTTTATTTGTTAATTATGCCTAAATAAAGCCAGTGGGAAAAATAAATTCAACAGGGCTAAAAATTAATCAAGTGCATATGATCCATTCCCTCAGACAGCCCAACCAATTCAACAACTGACTTAAAGCACATTAACAGGTTTTAAAGTAATCCCAGCTACAAATTATTGACTGTCTGCTCTGAGCCAGGTGCTATGCAAGTTGCTTCAGATGGATTACCTCATTTGATCCCCACTAAAACCCTGTGTGGTGAATATACAGTAAAGTACAATCTATATTTTTTTTTCAGATGAGGAAATTGAGGCTCGAAAGGTCACAAAACTATACACCATTCTGGAAAGGCGCCAGTGCAGAGGTCATCTGAAAAGGAAAAAATCAAAGTCAGTATTTATTGTGTGCTTATTCTGTGGAAACATTACACATTTTATATTCTTTGGGTCGTTTAAGCCTCATGACAATCTATAAGGAATGGAACTTGGAGAGGTTTGATACATGCCAAAGGCCAGAATTGAGTAAAAAAGTCCTTGATGTTCCAAAGAAATCTCTTAGAACTTAGAAATAAACTAGATATTAAGCTATTGGAAGGAAGAAGCAATCTGAGATAGTGATAAAATAAAATAATGATAATAATAACAACTCCAGTTGCCTGAAGAGTTCCTCTGACCTTGACTGTCAGAAACAGGACACTCCCCACAACCTGTATCCCCACCTAAGAGGGAAACCCCCACCCCCACCCCCCCAGAAGCTGGCAGTGGCTTCAAGCTCCTTCTCCTGTATAAGGAGGTCTGGGGTCACATGACCAAACTTCCCTCCAGTATGGAAAGTCACTGTTTCCAAGCGCATGATAGAGTGGAGAGAGAAAAAGAGACTTCAGTAAGTGCTTATCACTTTAAGCACTTCAACCAAAATTAAGCAAGAGCCCCTTAATTTTTTTTTTTTTTTTTTTAATGTTCCAGTTGTCAAAAATCACATCTCTGTTCTGGGAGGACTTTGTTCTGCAAGGTTCTCCATTACGGCTTTACACAGTCCCGGCTGTATCAGGTCAAAGTGTGGATCCAGGCCTTTCCCCTGCCCTTAGTCATGCATTCATTGCACAGAGGAAAATCCTCTGAAATGTAGGTGATCCATTTTAACACTTGGAAGATGATCCTGAAATAATTGTCCATGCTAACAAGCAAAAGGAAAGCCCTGCTTAAGAGCCATCCAGGTTCATAATGCCTGATGGAAGGCAAGAAATTGGATTACTTGTTGCTTATCATGTTTCTATTTAAGGATTTGGGTTCTTTGTTGTTGACTCTGGTAAAATAAAACCAGATTCTACTAATAGAAGGTCTCACTGCTTCTGGAAAATAATCTGGCAATTCTTACCATGAGCTTTAAAACAAGTCAAGCCCTTTAACCATGGAATTCTCCTTCTAAGGATATAAGCTTAGGAAAAGACCAAGAAAAGCAGGCTGAAAGAAGCAGTAATATGTATAGCTTAAGCTCTGAATTTATAATGCCTATACTCTAGTGCTCACTGAGATGAGCTACTTCATCTCTCTGTGCCTCAGTTTCCTCATCTGCAAAATGGAGATGATACTAGTCTCTGCATCATGAAATTGTTAAGAGGATAGTAAAAGTGTTACATAATTTACATGCGTTTTCTCATTTATTTCTCAAAAAACTCCATGAGGAAGGTAAGAAAAATACTGGCCTGACCTCGTCAGCAGTAAACACTCAGTTAAATGTACATTACAAAGACACAAAGATGTTCATCACAATATTATTTATTGCAATGAAAGTTTGTCAAAAATTGCTCAGTAATAATAGTTAAATAAATGATATTTCCATGTAATTAAATTGTTATTTAAAATGTTTTCAAAGAGAAGTTAATGAAACAGGGTGGGGAGGTCATCAAATAGTGAGTAGGCTGAGAAGCAGCATGTACTCTAGATCCAGATTTTTACATGATATTGTAGTGGATAATAAAATGGCAGCCTTTGACCAAATTTGCTCTTTGGAACACATATCCCTCCACAGCTGCTGGGAATACAGCACACAGCTGTGTCCCTCTTTGGGAATTGTTCTTGGCCCTAGGAAATAGACTCATCCAAAATTAGCTTCCTCTGGGGGTCCAGTGACTCTCTGATTTAAGGATACAAGAGCCCGCCCACTATCTTAATTTGGGACAACTCTAAAAGGTCAATCCAGCTCCCGAGCTTCCCTTATGACCAGCTAAATCTCCTTGAGATTTAGAACAGTAGATCTATCTGTATGATACCATAATGGTAGATATGTCATAATAAATTTGTCCAAACACATTAAGAAGTACGTAAGTGAACCCTAATGTATACTATGGACTTTGAGTGATAACTTCATGTCAAAGTAGATTCATCATTTATAACAAATGTACCACTCTGGTGGGGGATGTTGACAACAGGGAGGCTATGCATGTGTGGGAAGAGTATGCAGGATATCTCTGTACCTTCTGCTCAATTTTGTTGGGAATCTAAAACTGCTCTTAAAAAATAAGTCTATTAATAATATAGATTATGGAGGAATATATCTGAATGATGAAATTTCTGAATTTTCCAAATCCTCTATGATGAATCTGTAACCTGTTTAAAATAAATAAAATTATTTTTTTAAAAAGGCAGGATCTTCTCTAGACTGCTATAATTAATTAAGCCTATGAATTTCAATACATAGATTTAATTTTTCTTCTTAATCTCAGACTAGAGTTTCTTTAAAAATGCATAAACTTTTTTGTGTGTTTTTTCAGTACTAGGAATTGAACCCAGAGGCGCTCTACCACTGAGCTGCAACCCTCAGCCATTTTTATGTTTTGAGAAAAGGTCTCACTAAATTGCTTTGAACTTGTGATCCTCCTGCCTTAGCCTCCTAAGTAACTGTCATTATAGTGTGTGCCATCTCACTAGCAAAATAATACATAAACATTTTTATTGAAACAATACTGTTAGTAAGCAATAAGCCTAGATTAAATAAACATACTCTTTGGAGAATAAGCATTTCAACCCATGCACAACTTAATTGATTTGTATATCCCAAAGATCCTGCGGCAGCTAAAATCCAACTCTGTACTTTTGGAGAACCGTCCTCATATCTTGTGCTACTTAACAGTCATACAAGAAAATTGGTCTCCTTGATTCATAATAGACCATTAGTGTTTTATTTTATTTAAATATTGTCCACCTGCCTACTCACCCCACTGTCTTCTCAGATTCAATTCTGAATAGTAGTGAAAGTCTCAAGAGATCCTCTTCCTCAAAGAATTAATTGTTCTTCATAGAAGATATTCAAAAGAATGCCACAGAGATCCTGATGACTGTTTCTGATGTCAAGAGAGAAGGTGATATGTTCTTGGAACAAAAGCTCAGCCACCTAGTGTACCTGTGTGGAGAGGGCAACGACTGGAATGCATCAGCTTTGGGTGTTTGTTTAAAACAAAATCCACCACACACTTTATGGTCAATGTAATCCTCTAGTCCTAATACCATAGGTCATCAATCAACAGCTTAGATTAAAAGCTAAGAATAAAACTTGAGAAGTAACTATTCAAGGCTCACTTTGTACATGTAAGGACTGTGCATCTCCTCCTATGGATAAATGCCAGATTATTATAATGAGACCAGAAAAAGTCAACTAGATCCACAGAGACTGGAGGTAAAAGAAAGCACTTTGGGGAACACTTGCGACCAAACAATATATACACTCCTGGATGAGTGTTACCGTAACTACTGATGAATGGAGAAAGAACAGGCAAAGCTGAGGCCTTACATTTTTTGTACCATTGATTTTACTTTTATGGAGATGTACATTGTTCTTGCATGCATAACAATCGGATGTCTTACCACCAGAAACATCAAGTGCAGCCTGATATGATAAAGGATATCCAGACTAAATGTTTCCATATTTACAGAAGAGATACTGCATGAAGTCTACAGAAATGCCTTATTTTTTAAATGGCAGTCTTTTGCCAAACATGGTTGCACACACCCGTAATCCTAGCAATTCTGGAGGCTAAAGCAGGAGATTCACAAGTTCAAGGCCAGCTTTGGTGACTTAGCGAGACCTTGTCTCAAAACAAAAATTAAAAAGAGCTGGATATGTAGCTCAATGGTAAAGTGCCCCAGCACTACCAAAAATAATAAAATAAAATAAAATGGTACTCTTTTACTAATCCCAATTTTGGGAGACTATCTCAAAAAAAATGATCAGAAAACATGATCAAAAAAATGATCAGAAACATTGGAAAAAATCATGCACAAAGAGATCAATCACAATGCTATTAGTTATTTGCCTTAATGGCAGTGAGAATAAGCTAAATGTATACAACACTAAGAAAATGGTTAAGCAAACTCTACTACATCATTGAATTCTTGTTTCTGAAGACTTTATAATAACAGGGGAAAATAGTCATCATGCTGCATGAACTAAGCAAGATATACAGGTCTAAGTCTGATGTAATATACATAACTACATATAAAATATACAGTAGCCAAATAAGTAAAAACCAACTAGAGAGATAAACAAATATCATCCAGCAGGGGTTGTCTTAGAGTAGTGTGGTTTCACGTGATTTCTTCCCCTTCCTTCTCCTTGTCTGTATGTGACTGATTCCTTATAAAAGTTATAAACCCCATATTATTAAAAAGAAAAGGAGGTGGAAGAAAATGCCACTCTGGCTTCTGAGGTGATAAGAGAAAATAAATGGAGGACACACCTGAGGCATCACTGAAATCAGTCCAGACCGCAAAAGTGGAGAGCAGAAAACCAGCCATATAAGAAATGCACCTAAGAGTACTTACCTGTTCAAATCAGGGTGAAAGGGTAGGCACAGTGAGAACCTGAATTAAGATCTTATTTTGAAATGTTAATCAGTGTGACTTCCTCGTGTCTCTTGTCATCAGAAATTTTCTTCCTTTCAATCAGCTGTGTTTTCTAGGACACTTGTTCAGAAGATAGGGAAAATCATGAGACTGTTCTTGGCCTGGGTTCTAAAGCCCAAGACCACAGAAGGTTGGGAGAATTGAGGAGATGAAGTGAGAGATTGACTTGTTCACTCTCAAGAGGTGAAAACATTGCCCAGACAGATAAAGGAAAGAGCTGGAAAGAAAGCTGAGAGAGGATGGACATGTGTGGGTCCCTGGCCGTGGGTCCTGCAGCCTGGTCCCACCCTTGACCATGCAGGGATGGGAAGAAAAAAGCCACAAACTCCACAGGCCCTGAGAAGTATCCTTGTCCCAGGTAGAGTCACAGATGCTGCAAATGCCACAGTGGAAAAGATGGCATGAAAGATTTAAGCAACTCAAAGCAGCCGGCTGGATTTTCCCATTCCAAAATGACGCAGAAGAGAAGTTGGATTCTGAATGCCCGAGAGTAGCTCAGGAGGAGTGAATACTGCCAGCACTCAACACCCAGCACCATGTAGAAGCAAACAGATTTTCATGTTAGCAAGAGCCCACTGAGTGACCCAGGCGTTTAGAAGTCTCAAAGAATTCTTGTGCACTGGAAGATGCCTCCAAGAAGGACACAGAATAACAGAAAGAGCCATCCAGCTCTGAAAGAACTCTACCATGAGAACAAAAAGATACCAGCAATGCATTAGCCTATGTGTCCTGATGACCAGGATCAGATAGAATAGTAGCCGTTTCAGGGGTGGCCTGTACAGAGGGAAGATGACACCCAACATATACACTGTCTTCAGTTCAAATGGTGGCCATATGTAAGCCCCAGAAAACACTGTGTAATCACAGAGGAGGGGGGAACTGAGCTGACTGAAACTTAATTTCCAATACCCAAAGGAATGGGAGCTCAAGCTATTTCATTGATTCCAAGATGCCATTGATTGTAAAATGCATCATTAATTTTTGTACCACTAAGAAAGAAAGATGTCTGCAATTAATCTAAAAAACAGTGCTTTCTCATCACTTCAAATTTTTATTTTGTATTTGCTGAAATATCTCTTTTAGACTTGTTGGGACATAGATTTTTATTACTTGTCATTCCTGTGCATATATAAAAAGGAAAATAAATTAAGAAATTCCTGAAATGTCTTCTCATTTAGAGTCTAACTCTTCTGAATCAATTTTTCTCCACACTATGATTCTGTGTTGGTAATGAAATGTTTCTTACAATGTCTCCACTATTGGGTCTGGGTTTTCTTCCAAGATGTTGCCCATTCCAAGGGGTTTAATGTGGGTACATTCTTGCTTGGCATGTACTAAGCAAGCAATACTTTTTTACATAACTCAGTAACAAAATATGTCATAGTTTCATATATTTAGACCAATCTACTTCAAATCTAACCCTGTATGACAGTTTTGCTTTGAAATGATTCCTTGAAACAAAAAGTTTGCTTTAATGCAAGTAATTTGAATAAAAATTATTAGATTATGCTCTTCAACCTAAAAAAAATTGCTTTAATAATATCGCATGGACAGCTCACCACTCTGCTTTTGGACTTTCCTGTTCAGAAACTATAACTTTTCATTTTGCTACTGAAACTTAGGCCTTGAAAGTCATTTCAAACAGCAACTATACTCAACCTAGGTAATAGCAACAATGTTCATAGTTCAACTGAAGGGACAACAATATTAATACCCATGGCCCAGTTTACAAATGGGCAGGCAGAGCCAGATATGTGCACTGCCACTCAACCAATAGCAATTCAAAAATGCCATCAATATGATCCTGATTTCAGAGAGGATAACATACTAAAAGAGTGTATGTTAGAATTAACAAAATATGGTAATTTGAGTTAAAGAAAACTTTAAAGTGTATTTCTTGCACGCTTGAGCTTGTAGAATAAAGTTATGCCCATTACACAAGTATAAGGCCCTCTCCATAAGTGCAGTGGGAAGGTGTCACTCACCTTTTAAAGGTGGTCAACTAAGAATTTCATGAGCAGGCTGGCCACAGGGTAAAGTCTTAAAGTCCTTCGTGCAATGTGGTCTCATGATTTCTAACAGAAATTGGTTTAACAGAAACAAAGACCCCTGAGTTGCTGATGTGACTAGAGGTTCTATGGCTTCACACAGGAAATGTCACAGAATTCTTTTTCTTGTTCTTTCAAAGAAGTAGTAAATGTCTCATTGTTCTCTACCCAGGTAGTGAGTCTTCCTGACAGAGATCAGATTATGAACCACCTTCATGGTGTGGCAGCAACCCCGTACTTAAAAATAAATAAATAAATAAATAAATGGTTGGGGAAGAAGTATAGATGCGCAGTTGAGAGCTTGGCCTTGGCCTCGGCCTTGGAGTCCATCTGCCATGGGTTTGAGTCCCAGATCTGCACTTACTTATTGTACAAAGGGCATTTAATCTCTGTGGCAGAGACTATCTAGATATTCACCAGTATTTCCTCCCTTTCTAGGATAATGAGACCAGATTTCCTAATCACCCTTGGATTTAGGTGGAGCAATGTAACTGATTTCTGGCCAATAGAATTTGATCAGAGGGATATACCATTTCTGGGCCTGGACTCTACATCCTTCTGTGTGACACACACACCCCATCCTCCCTCCTTTCTTTTTCCAGCTGCCACCAGAGCAGGAATCTGAGACCCTAGACATGGCAACACAGTCATATGGAAGGAGCCTGAATCCCTGAATAACTCTGTGGAGTACATACCCTTGACTATTAAACTACATGGACTTGGCATGTTACAGTACTTATCACATCCTGCTTAATGCATTCTGTATGCCTCAGATTTAATTGGCTACTTAAAGGAGTCACCACAATAACTTCCACACAATAAAACACAATAGTGGTTATGCCATTATTGTTGTTGATATTATCATTATTATTACTGAGGCAAATAACTCAGATGTAGATTTCAAATAGGCAGGCAGCTTTTTGCAGCATATATTAGAGGGAAACCAACTTTTATAAATATCAACTGATTCAGATGATACATAAAGTGAAATTTGAGCAATCACATTTTCAGAAACTGAAAACAGTCTGCAAATAATAACTAATAAAGACTGTGAAGCAAGGAAGTAACTGATTCCTGAGCAGGCAGAGGAGGTTAAGGTCCAGATGTGGACTCAAAGGGAGGTCAGCAGAAGCTTGAAGAAGAGGAATTCAGATCTGGCCAGAACAGAAACCCGCGCCCCTGAGCCACACTGGGCAATGGTTCTCAGCAGTTCCTCGGGGAAGAGGAAGTGGTTGTCATCATCAGAATTGTATCCCCTGAAGACATAATGATTACTCTAAAATTAAACTATGCAGTTCCTTCTTAGTAGCATGGTTCAGTCATCATTGAATTCCTTTATCATTTACATAAGTTAGGGTCTCAGTTGAAATGCCCTTCAAAGACTATGATAGTCAGTCCCGTTTGTCATTTGGAGTTGATTCTGGTAAGAAAAATGGCTTCTCCTTATTCCTAGCTGTGCATGCAATGAAGTCTACTGGCAGTTGAGACTTCCCCCAGTCAATCTTGTCATATGTCTACTCACTTATTCAAAAGAAGGTAGCCCTCCTCTGTGCCAAGCCCTGAGTTAGCTACAGGTTATACAACAGTTGCAAAACAAATACAACTCCTGCCCTCAGCATTCTTACAGCTTAATGAGTGGCTGAGGACACACACCAGAAATAGACAAATACACCAATAATGGAATGTACTGAAAAGGTGCTCTGAAAGCAAAAATAAAAAAGAAGAAAGAGGAGTCAAACCTGGGCAAAGTGCTACAAAGCATAGAGAAAGATCAAGGGCAAGGGAGAAGGCATTTCAAAAAGTACAAAAAGTCTGCTGTAATTGGAGTCCTTTTCCATGCTCAGGATGAGATGGAAAGGTGCAGTGTCACAGATATAGTTGGAGTCTAAGCCAAAGACATAGCTGGGGTCCTTTCCAAGTGCAATAAAAACCACTGGAGAGCTCAAGAGGGTGCCTTGATGTGATCTGATTTATAATGTTTAAACTTCTTCAACTGAAGAACTGACTAGAGGAGACAAAAAAGAAAAAGAAAGGAAGAAGGGAAGAGAAGGGAAGGGAAGAGGCAAGGAAAACCCACTAAGAGGCTATTTCAATATCCAGGCAAGAGATGGTGGCTGGCTGGAGTGGATTAGCAATGCTAGAAAGTGCACATGAGAGAGATTTTGTAGGTGAACTCTTCAGGGCCTGCTGGTGAGGGAGTAAGGGCAAGAAAGGGATAAATGTTGACCCTCAGAGTTCCTGCTTAAACAACTGGGCATATGAATGAGTTTCTTACTGAGATGGGAAAAGGGGTGGAATAAAATGGTTTAGGAAATGGGAAAATCAGAAATTCCACTTTGAATTTGTTCATTTGGAGACATCACATAATCCTGGAATCCCAGCTTTTTTTTTTTTTTTTTTTTTTTTTTTTTTTTTCTTTTAAGAGAGAGGGGAGAGAGAGAGAGAGAGAATTTTTTTTTAATATTTATTTTTTAGTTATTGGCGGACACAACATCCTTGTTGGTATGTGGTGCCGAAGATCGAACCCGGGCCGCACGCATGCCAGGCGAGCGCGCTACCGCTTGAGCCACATCCCCAGCCCCCAGCTTTTTTTTTTCTGAACTTAACCTCACATTCTCCTCAACCACAACTCTTTGATAATTGATTGAAACTTTTTTTCTTGTGCTGAGTAGCTGCTAGTAATTTTTCTGTTACTCATTCCCTTACAATTTAAATCATTTTACCATATATGTGCCTTGTTTCCTCAAGAGATTTTAGGTGCCCTCAAGACATAAATTCCTGCAGCCTTTGGCAATCTGTCCCCATGCATAATAGATGCTCAATACTCTCATTGCTGGGGTGGCTGCCTTTTCCTCTTCTAGACAGCATCAGTTCAAATCTGAGTTCTTACTTCATCTTCATTCCTCCCTCCCTCACACCCTATCTATTGCCTTCAGTTTCATCAGCATTGCCAGTTTCAAGAAGGTTTTTTTTTTATGGTCTTCAAGAAGGTTATTTTTGTGGGGGTGGGGGTGAGGTAGCGGTAACCAGGGATTGAACTCAGGGGCACTGAATCACTGAGCCACATCCCCAGCCCTATTTTGTATCTTATTTAGAGACAGGGTCTCACTGAGTTGCTCAGCACAGCACTTTTGCTGAGACTGGCTTTGAACTTGCAATCCTCCTTTCTCAGTCTCCTGAGCCGCTGGGATTACCGGCGTGTGCCACTGCAGTCAGTTTATGGTCTTTTAAAATATAAAATAAATTGTGTATATATAAGATATAGAACATGATATTATAAGATGCATACAGAAGTAAGAAGATTACTACAGTGAAGCAAATTCACATATCCACCTTACATAATTGCCTTTGTTTGCTTGTTTTGCTTTTGGTGGCAAGAACAACTAAAATCTACTCATTTTAATTTTGAATCATTAGTACAGAACAATTTTTTTTACCAACTCATGCTGTAAGTTAGATCTCTAGAGTGTCCATTCTCTGACCTTCAACTCCCCATTTTCTCCCTTGCTCCACTTCAATATCTCAACCACTATTTGTTCTCTATCTCTGTATATTTGATTTTTTTAATTCTGTATGTAGGTAAGATTATGCAATGAATTTTGGAGGGGTGTCTATCTTATTTCACTTAGTATAATGTTGTCCAGGCTCATCCATTTTGGAGCAAAAGGCAAGAACTCATTTCTCTTAATGCTGAATAATATGCCACGGTGAATATGTGCCACAGTTTCTTTATCCATTCTTCCACTGACAGACACTTAGGTTGTTTCCTTACCTTGGCTTTTGGAAACAATGCTATAACAAACATGTGAGTGCAGATATCTTTATGAGGGAGTGATTTCATTTCTTTTGGGTATGTGCCCAGAAGAGGGATTGCTGGGTCATACGGTAGTTCTATTTTTTCCTATGGTCTTCTTCTTTGGTAATATTTGCCCCGGTGGCCTTCAGACTAGCTTGATCTCTGTGGTTTCCAAAAATCTAGAAGATATTTGGATTTAATCTCAAGAACTGCTATTTCTCACACTCCAGCCTTTGAGAGTGGCTCAGACATCCCAGGAATAGCATTTAGGATTTTCACCTCTTTTAAAGAGCTATCTATGGTTTATTTTTATTTTCCCTAACCACTCTGTTGAATGGAGAAACACAAGACTTGGAGTCATTGCTAAAGGGAAAAGTCAAATAGTAATAATACTCCAGGGACATCCAAAGTATTATGAAAAGGAAATGTTTAAGTGGAAAATACCCACCTATGGAAATAAAACTGCCAATACCTGAACCTAAGTATAAACCCAGTTAATGAATGGGAGAAACGGTAGAAGCTCTTTTGCCATTGACTCCACTCTCTGGCAAATGGTCCTTGATGAATCCAAATTTGCACTGGGATTTGAAACTTTCCATGCTCTTGTATTTCATCAGCTGCTTTGAGTTACTGTTAAAGAAACACATTTTTAATGACAAATTTCTGACAGAGAATGCAGTGCAGATGTAATTCTTTGAACAATTATTTCTTTTGTTGATGGCTTTTTTTTTCTTCCATAGTATCCACTTGCAATTAAATAAAACAGTAATTAGAACTCTAAATTCACTCAAAATTACTGTCCCAATGGTCACCTCCACAGAACCTTCAAATGTCATTGTGGAAAGAATGTCTTATCAGAGAGCCAACGTACTAACACAGAAAATCTTAGCTTTTTCTGTTTTGGAGTTATACATTGATAATGTGCAGAAAACTTGTGATTAGAAAACCATCACAATGAAATAAAAATCCAAGACTGTAGGCCATAGGATAGCTTAATTTTCTTAAAATAAAAGAAAGGGTTTTTTTTTTAAAAAAAAGAAAAAAAAAACTTTATACAAATTACAAACACATTGAAGAATTTAGTAACAAATATGTAGAAAGACACAGACTAACACATTTTCCAGTGCAGACATAATTGTTCAGTCTCATTTAATCATGACAATAAAGTACCTTTCTGGGTCTTTCCCTAACCAAGACAGGATATGTTTAAATCTGATGTTAACTCATCAGTTGAATCTCTGGAGCTTCTTACAGTGATTCCAGAATGATCTCCTCTCCCTATTGCATCCTCCTCTTTCCCTCCCCTCTGCTGGTATTCCTGACTTTCCTAAAAGGCACCATGGTCTTGCACATAAGCAGTCAGCTTCCTGGGTTACCAGACTGCTTCTTCTCATGGCCCATGTGAGCCTTTCATCTAAAGTTCTTTCTCATCTTCTCCCTTTTTTTTTTTCCTTTTATTCAAACTACACTATTTTCTTATCTTGCACCAGGTCTCTTGACTTCCATTTCCCTCTCACTCTAATTCTCATGGCAAAGCACTTCCAAGGTGATATTCCTATGGGTCCCTGATAAACCACTCTCCAGCTCCTGAAATTCAGGTGGATCTCTTTGCCTACCCAGGGCTCAATGCAGTCTTTAGTCCTGAATTATCTTTCTCCTTAAACATGCATCATCCCCCATTCAAGTACTCTAAGAACCCCAACCAAACTGAATCGACCTTAGTTTTCCGTATATATTGTGTCCATAGTCCTCCACACCTTCAGTTACACTGTTTGCCATTCCTCTCACGCTTGTATGTCCACATCCTATCCATCCTCCATGTCCTAATTCAAGAAAAAGTAGTATACAGATTGAATCTTGAAGGACAGCTTCAGGTCCAGAAGAATTCTAGAGTGTTAGAAGATCTCCTGGGGCTGATTTCTATCACTTAGAGTATTCTCTTTCTCCACACGATTGACTCCAGAATATGTCCACTCCCTTCAATAAAATCATACCTTTGGTTTTTTGTCCACCAAACAATTGAACTGATAAGTGAGTGACACTATCACCATGGACTGTTTGAAAGAGGAAGTGGACATGTAGGAGACAGTCTACTCAACATCATTTGTAAATAGTTAATTGCTCACGACTTGGAAGCATTAGAGGAAACCTGCTTGTGGTGATGGAAGATAACCCTGCCTTTAGGAGAGTGAAAGTGAAGAGATCTCACCTTAAGTTCCCCAGCTCTGGACATTCCTGTCCTGCACCAAGAAATTCACACGCCCATTCTACCAGGTTTTCTAGAAAGAAGAAGGCAGATTGAGAACCACTGACCAGTGATGAAGACAGTTTTAAAGTCTGCCAATAGTTTAAGCTAGGTCTTTTGCTTTCGAGAACGCCCAAGCTAACACATATAAAGAGTGGTGTAGGGACTAAGAGGGATCTCACAGAAGCCCAAAAGCAAGAAACTATAGCACACCCGGGTGCCTCGTGAGATCTGGAGCTGGGATTACACAGGAACCAAGGTCGCTTTATCTCTTAGGACTTAACTGTCTTTTCTCAGCACATCTGTTCTTCTCTTTGTCCTATTTCCTCATAGTTTTTCTTTCATCACTTTAACTTGTACTTGGCCTCTTAAGATCTCTCTTTCCCTGACTTTACCTGTGATCTTCATGTCCATTCTCTTACTGGCTCAGTTTTATCAGTTCTCCTTTACTGTGAGAGCACTGTGAATCAACCAAAAACACATTTTGAGCAAGGTCATTGATTAGCCTTTTGCTGAATCATCCTTTAGAAACCTGTTATATACATGTGTGTTGGGGCAGTAATAATGGGGACAAAAAACATAATAGGTGACTAGCTGTGAGCAGTTTTTCCTCTTAGATTGGACGTGTACTTGGGACAGACTATGAGACTTCATGGTCCAAATGATAAACATGCTGTAGACTTTGAGTGTGGCAGCATAGAGGCCATATCAGAGCTCTTGAGATCTCCCTTCAGTGAGCATATTTTTGGGTAACAAGAAAACCTGATTCCTTTCACAGTTTGGGAAACTATCCTACTAGGTTCATCACTAGGGTTAACTTTTTAAATTATTCTCCTAAACACTGTTAAGTACTGTTCTGGTTTGGACCTGGGATGTCCCCAAAGGCTCATGTGTTGAAAGCTTGGTCTCTAATACAACAATATTCAGAGGAGGGGTTTGGGGAAGGTGATTGGATCATGAGGGTTTTGAGCTCATCAATGGGTTAACCCATTGATGCACTCATGGATAATGGACTATTGGGAGGTGGTGGAAGTTGTATGAGGTGGGACCTAGCTAAAGGGAGTAGGTTCTTGGAGACATGTCCTTAAAGATTATACCTTATCTCTGTCTCTCTCTGTGTGTGTGTGTGTGTGTGTGTGTACCATTAGCCAAATATTACTTCATTTAAGTTGACTTTCTTGGGTATTTTGTCACAGCAACAAAAAGCTGACTGTTCATCCTGCTCTACAATGACAACAGAATGACAGTGACCTACCTCAACTAATAAATGCATTTATTTCTTATTTCTTTCTTTAATTCAAAGGGGCTGGCCTTTAGATTAAAGCTCAAAAAAATCTGATAAACATTCAACATGATACCTAATTTTAAAAAAATGCTTAGTAATCTAGAAATAAGGGTAACAAAGATAAAACCCAAAACAAAAGAATGTCAAAAAATCAACAAATATTATGGACATGGTGATAAGGATATATTCTCTCGCCATGAATATTAACATTGTCTTAAATTTCTTTTTCTTTCTTTCTTTTTTTTTTTTGTCTGTGTGTGTGTGTGTGTGCTGGGGATTGAACCCAGGGCTTTGTGCATGCAAGCCAAGCACTGTACCAACTGAGCTATATCCCCAGCCCATTGTCTTGAATTTCTAGCCAGTGAAATAAAAAATGAAAAGAAAAAGGAAGATACAGCTTCATTGAAAAGAAACAAAATTGTTGTTTGCATATAATTGCTTATCTAAAAACTCCAAAACAATTAATGAAAAAACTATTAATCTGAAAAATAAAATTTAGTACAACAAAAAGATATAAAACCAGAAGATTTTTTTCCTAAATAAAACAGAAACTAGGGGACCGGGATTTTGTGGCTCAGCGGTAGAGCGCTCCCCTAGCATGGGCGGGACCCAGGTTCGATCCTCAGCACCACATAAAAATAAAGGCATTGTAAAAAAAATAAAAATAAAAAAATAAAGGCATTGTGTTGTGTCCATCTACACCTAAAAAAACAAATATTAAAAAAAAAAAAAAAACAAAGGCTGGGGATGTGGCTCAAGCGGTAGTGCGCTCACCTGGCATGCATGCGGCCTGGGTTCGATCCTCAGCACTACATACAAACAAAGATGTTGTGTCCGCCAATAACTAAAAAATAAATATTAAAAAAAACCAGAAACTATATTGAAATTGGATCAAGATGCTAGACTAAATGTAGATGACCACTGATTCTCACACCCATATTTTCCTAATATTACAAAGATAAACCAAAGGAGCATTGGAAAACAGAAGAAAGTTTCCTGGGCAACAAGAAATCATGAGTAATTCTTTGAAAGTAGAAATACACACAAATGAAAAATGCTATGAAGAATAGAGCAGAACACAGGAACCTCAACTGAGATTGAACAAACACAAGAACAGGAGTCTTAGATCAATCAATATGTGACCAGAACCTCATAAGCAAATTTCATTTATGAATTGATACATGGTATTTGAAAATTGAATCCCACAGAATATTAAGACAATAATATGTTACGAGCAAATATCATTCATTCTATGTATTCTATTTAGAGTACATTAATGTAATTCAACATAATGGATCAAAGTAAAAAATATACAAATTTTAATAGAACTTAAACTGTCTTTGATGAATTTCAATAGTCATTCCAATTTTAAAAAGAAAAGCTTACAAAGAGATGTAAGGATATATGACAGAAACCTACAGTCAGCATCATATCAATGCAGAAATATATTTTTAAAATATTTTTCAGTAGTAGATGGACACAATATCTTTATTTTATCTATTTATTTTATGTGGTCCCAAGGATGAAACCCAGTGCCTCACACTTTCTAGGCAAGTGCTTACCACTGAGCCACAACTCCAGTCCCTCAATGCAGAAATATTTTTTTTTTAAATTTTCAAAAAAAAATCAGAAAACCTGCTATCTCTGAAAATATTTTACTATCAACAATAGCAAATTAAATACAGAAAAACTTATAATGACATATACATATAAGAAAGGAAAAGACATATAATTATTATTTGTAGACAGTATTATTGTCAACTAATACTAATACAAATAAAATAAGGAATAAATTAGGAAATTTCTGGAACTGATGAGAATAAATATGGCTAGTACCAGATCAACACAAAATTCAACAGAATTTCTAATTATCTGTGTTAATCAGTTTGAAAGTTAAAATAAAAAAAGATACTATTCATAACAGCAACAAACTTTGAAAAAAATCCAACAAGAAACATTCAAGAATTACATGAACTACATAATAGAAAACCTAAATAATTGGAGAAATACTATCATTTTAACTGAGAATATAGAATATTTTTTAAAGCTAATCAAACTTCTAAAGAAAATTTTATAGAATTTAAAAAACGGATTCTAAATTTCATATAAATGAAAATAAATGGGAGAATCGAAGATTTTTGTTTAAATAACAGTAAGGAGGCTGGGTATTATGGCACATGCCTATAATTTCAGTGACTTGGGAAGCTGAGACAGGAGGATCTTAAGTTCAAGGCCAGTCTCAGCTACCCAGAAAGGCCCTAAGCAATTTAGTGAGACCCTGTCTCAAAATAAAAAATAAAGAGGGCTGGGTATGTGGCTCAGTGGTAAAGTGCCCGTAGGTTCAACCCCCAATACCAGGAATAAAAAATAACGGTGAACTTGATAAATACAAAAAAGTTAAAGATGCATCAAATTTAGTAATGAGTAGAAAGGTAGCTCACTGAAACAAAATAAAGTGCTACAAGTACAAGAGAATTAAAAATATTACAAAGGCAGCGTTTCAAACAAGTAGAGAAAGGATAGTCATGATAGTGTGAAAACAGATATTCATTAGATCACCTCCTCATGCCCTGATAAAAATAAGTTCCAGATAGATGAAAAAATAAGATATTTAAAAATAAAATGTAAGTTTAAAAGATAGAAGGTCTCTATTTATAATCTCATGAATGTTTAGTGTGGAAGAGAAAACCTAGAAATAAAAGTGAAAATAATGGCCTTGACTACATAAAAACATTAAACATATATGAACTAACAAACACCATGAAAATATTAAAAGATAATTAACAGACGGATGGAATGTACAATCAGCAATGAATACTTACAATTCAGAAAAACTATAAATAAGTAGGAAAAAAGACAATTCAGTCAAAAATACACACACAAAAAATGAAAACAAGCAAATCACATAAGAAAATACAAATGGGTGAAAAACAAAGATTTGCTCAGCCTCACTGGAGTCAGAAAAATGCAACTTAAGAAAATAAAAATATGACTTCCCCTAAAATAAAAAGAATTTAAGAGATTAAAACACTCAATACCAGCAAAACTACCAAAGAAAACTTATTACTAGAAGTAAAATTTTAAAACCGTGGCAAAACCCCTCTGCATATTCATTTGAAAGCAATACAACTAGTATTTCCACAATTTGTGAATATACAAAAGAAGACTGTGTAAAGATATTAATTGAAAGCCAGGCACAGTAGCATATGCCTATAATCCCAGCCACTTTGGAGGCTGAGGCAGGAGAATTACAAGTTCAAGGCCAGCCGCAGCAACTTGGTGAGGCCCCAAGCAACCGAGCAAGACCCTGTCTCAAAATTTTAAAAATTAAAAAAGGCTGGGGATGTGGCTCGCGCCCCTAGGTTCAAACCGCAGTACCAAATAAATAAATAAATATGTATATGTGTGTGTGTGTGTGTACATATATATAAGTGTACTACAATTATGTGTATATATAATAAATGTATAATAATTCATACATATATGTATGAATTGAAGTATTTTTTAAATTGTAGTACACATTCCATAGACTTAAGTCTACTGACACCACAACTCTTCACTTTTCCTCCTTCACAGCTGCAAATGGATGAGGCCCATCCTAGGCCATGGGTCAGTTTAAAGCCTCCATTGCTAAGAGTTGGGAGTCTAAAAGGCAGAGATAATAAGAGCAAAACTCACCACACTCTCCAACACCCAGACTCAGCAGCAGTTGACAACTCCAAGGGTCAGTACAGAGGGACTGTGCCAACC